CACACACACACACACACACACACACACACACACACACACACACACACACACACACACACGCTCCATGTAGCTTCTCAGTAGTACAGATAGGATGTTAGACCCCCTGCAGCATTACCTGCAGCCAAGTCATAGGGCACCATTAAAATTCAGCATGCTTTCACCAACCCTTCAAGGCCCTCCAATGACCCAGGAAGTGTTTTAACATTCTACTCACACACCACACACCGAAAAGAAGAGCTCACGCAATCCATCCACGTCTCCAAACCTGCTCTCTGCACTCAACATTTCAGCGAATCACAGTGTGTATTTGTATATTTAAAAAAAAAAAAAGATATTTTGCCTTCAGCCAAAGGCACTCTTCTTTGTGCATCTGTTCACATCTTTCTCTGTCTATGCTATTATTTTAGGGTTCAAGAACACTGCACTCTGTGGCGGCACAGAATGAACCGGCTGCTCCAGAATATAATTTTTTCTTCAATATTAAATATCTCATTCTATAAAGCATTTCTCAGCAATGGAGTTGGGGGAAAAAATGAAAACAAGTCGAGGAAAAAAAAGGTGCTAGGCAATAGTGACACTAAAGTTCAAGCCRATTTTTATCATACCTCAGAGATTTGAGGTAGAATTAGAGGACAAGATCAGAGAAAGAAAAGAGGGTTAGTAAAGGGTACGAGTCCACATAGCATTTTTTTTTTCTTAAAAAAAAGGCAGGGCACCAGGGAGCTGTTCTTTTTGCTTAGATTTCATGAAAAAAAGTGCTCAAGCACAGCAGCCCTTGCATTGTTTCTATAACAATAAAATGATAGCACATCTCCAATTTAACCACTGTTTTAGATTAAACCAACATTAATCATTTGCACCGTGGTGTCTATTTATACTTTTTGGTTATCAAATGAAAGCTGTTTCTTCTTTAATCCTAAAACGTTTGTTACTTTTCCACCCGGCAGCCATTGTGCACTGAAGCAGTTCGTGAAAACCACCATCTGCTGAAAGAGCCTGTATAGAATAAATAAGAGACACTTTAACGTGGGGCTCCTCCAAGCTCATTTTAATCAAAATGTTGTAAGTTTGAGCTGAACAAAATACAGGTGCAACACTGGCTGTAACTATAATATTCTGTTTTGAAAGTTTTGGACTTGAAGGTTTTGTGACTGATTACCTGAACTTTAGATTTATCTATGCTTTGTAATTGCTTTTAGTCTTTTATGTTAAACAGTGAGAGAATCAATACATGCTTTGCTCCGGCAGGGTGAGAATAATACTTTACGTTTCTGGCATTCCAATGCTGACATAAGAGGGACCACGGTGATCAGGGTTTCTAAAAACTTGGTTTGAACACATGATTTGCGGCCATTTTGTTTAGACTCAGAGAAGCTCAGCGTGAAATGGAGTCTTTAAAACTGAAAATAACTTAATTGGTTTTCTGCGCATTATTCAGGTCACCAATCTGAACAATTTTTAGACTGATCCAGCACCAGTCTCTCTCGGATAGCAGTTTTATTTATTTATTTATTTATTTATTTATTTATTTATTTATTTATTTATTTATTTATTGAGAATCATGTGGAGGTTGGATCAGAAACATGTGTGTCAAGATTGCTTTTGGAAAAGAGCCACCAAGAAGACCATACCTATACAGACAGGTGTGGGCCAGATCTGGTGTCAAGCTTGACTGCTGGCATGGCAAGTGCTTTGTCAACCAGATGTGGGCCAGGTCTGGCAATGATGGCACTGTTTTTAAAATGGCAAGCTACTACTGGCCCAGTTGTAGTTTGGTTTATGTAACGCTTGGAAAACATTACATAAAAAAAAACATCGAGGCCAAAAAAGGCCCATCATTCTTTGCATCATCTGGACTGAGTGCATTTGTATGGGCCAGATCTGGACCAGAGAAATTTAGCTATGTGTGTAAAGAAATAACATTGAAATAAGTAAGTGTCGCAACTAACAAAAAAAAAGTTTTATGAGCAAAAAGATAATTTATCAGTCATTCTTGACTTCTTTAATGTTGAATGACTGAAGCACAGTTTTTTTCTTGTATAAATCTATAACTGCAAAAGTTGCAATTCACAAATGAGCACTAGGACACAGTTTATTATTTTTACATCAGTGMTRTGGAATATTTGAATATCTCAGTGGAGAGAAACAGATCTTCAATAACTCTTCATGAAAGGTTTGGTGTTTTGATGTTGATTTTAGTCTTTGTTWATACTCTGTGATGCTTCTGAAGCTGTTGTTGCTTTAATGCATTGCTAACCATGTATTGCGCCAACAAAAAAATCTTCAGAYATTCTTTTAATGCACCCCATGTATGCAACATGTTTCCTCAATACRAAATGATAACTGTAGGACACTTTCTCAATGTCTTTTTCAGTGTATTTTTTTTTCTGTTTCTTTGAATCTTAAGTAGCATACTCTCATATATCTGTGATTATTCAGCTAGGATGCCAAACTGAAGCAGTCTTGCAAAGAATACATTCTCTTATAGACCCAAAAAAATAAAAAATATGGAAAGCACTCATAAAGATTTCAGCAGATTCCAGTACCTTTGAAATAGTTCTTTTCAAAAGCACCATGGCGTGTTTCCATACATATTTCATCTCTATTGCTCTGTGCATGCTCAGAGAGGCACTGGGAATTATTTATGTGGTCAGAAAGAAATAGAGAGATAAAGAAAAGGAGAGATAAAGAGACACTCAGAAGCAGAAAGACAGGTCTGGCAGAAAAAACCCCATCTCAGATTACACAGGGTAGACGCCAAAAGAGATACGAGCTGAACTAATTAAGCATCTAAATGAAGTCATTAAATCTATGGCCTTTTTTATCCAAGTGCCTCTGGTTACAAATAATTAAATCTCCCTTAAGTTTCGCTTGGATGCTCTCTTTCATTTAATGTTTTTTGTCATCATACCATTTTATAGCTTTACTTATATACAGGAGTGAAAATAGTTTTAAATTCTCGCCTGTACTGTCACATAAAATGTCATTAACTGTCCTCGTGCAAGCAGCACTGTTTTTCTTGGTAAAAAAAAAAGGACAACATTTGGACAAAATCTGATTGTCCGCAAAACATTTTGGTTGTCCAAAAAAATCTCAGTAAAAATGTAATTTAATAAGTAGGCCATACAGTATAATCTTCTGTATACAAAGTTTATTATATACAAATGTTCTCAGTCAGCAGGTTGACAGTTTCAGGAGCTGCTTGAGTAAAACTTCCTTGTGCTACTCCTCATCCTCTTCTTTGAAATAGAGAGCAAGAATATTGCTACTAAAACTTTTCTACACCTAGAGGTTACCCAACATCCGTAAGCTTTCTGCTTACAGGTCAAACACTGTCATTTAAATAAGGGTGTACATATCTTAAAAACAAGGAAAAACTGATATTGGATGATTATTTAAAAATACAGATGGATCATCAGCTTWAAATATTAGAAAAAAGTTTTAGATGTTGGGAGATGATACCAGATTCAAGTGATAAAGAAAAAAATAACAGTAAAGGAGCAATAATGGAAGGTAAAACTTTTTTATTAAAAAAAGATTAAATTGCCAATTTGTGCTCATTCTGTTGTAATTTATACCTTCTGGAATATAGTCTGGGGTGGAATAGTTTTTTTATTGAGTAGTGTTTTTAAAATATTCCATGTAGATTAACAATTATATCAAAACCAACAAGAATCATAACATTAACTGCAACAGTGCCTAATATTTTTACTAATGCCAGACATGGAAAGGTGTTGAGTGAACTTTTG